CCGGCTTCCCCGATTCTACCTTTTGCCTCTATAGATGATCTTGAATCAGGAGCCACAGAGATCCTGTTAAGTCTGAAGAGCTTCAAATGCTCTACACGACCCGTGCCTCTGCTCTCCACCTCTGATTCCATCTCTTGCTTTCCTCCTGGCTCACTCGGCTCCAAACTTCCTCAGGGCCTTTGCACTGGCTGCTCTCCACCCCGGAAGACTCTGCTCCCATGTCTCAGGTTACTCCTTCACCTCCTTCAGGGCCTGGATCAAACTTCTCATTGACATCACCTTCTCACCAACGCCTCCCCTGACTGCCCTGTTTAAAACCACAGCTCACAAACCCCACCCCTGTACTTGGGACCCCTTGACCTTGCTCTTTTCTCCAAGTCACCTTCAAAATGACTACGTAATTTTTCAAATGTATTCTATCTGTTTGCTGTCCTCCTTCTGTGCTAAAACATAGACTCCAGAGGGACAGGGACAGGCCACTGCCTGGCATGTGGCCGGAGTTCAAGAACATCTGTTGAATGAATTGTGTCAAGGCAAAGCTTGTCTTAGAGCTGAGCCTCTGGGTCCCCCTCTAGGTCCTTCTGTTTCACTTTTCTTCCCCCGAGTCCTAAGGGAGTTTACCCTTCCCTGGGGTTCTTTTGGGACCAAAGGGAACCCTGGTTATCTGCTTTAGGGCCAGGTCTGCCTAGAGGTAGACAAATGGCTGAGATGACTGTCCAGCATTGCAGACTTCCGTGTGAAGATGCCATATGGGGACCTCATTCATCTGCAAGGAGAGGCGGCTGCTTGGTGTGGAATGAAGCACCCGCCCGCCCCCTCCGTCCTTCCAGCTGTCATGGTCAGCTAGTAGTTCCTGGGGCACCAGAAGCAGAGCCTCAAGGGCCTCTGCTGGCCGGGGAGAGAAGAGCTGGGTGGTGGGGTCTCACGGGCCTCCCTCACATTGTCTTACAAAGCGGGCAGCTCAGCCCCCTTTCCTGAAGGACTGCAGCCTCCACTCTGGGATGGCAGGCTGGCCGGGACCCTGGGGGCAGTGGGACCTCTGCATTCCTTTGGGGCCAAGGTTTCCTGACTGGGACGGGTGGGCTGGTACAGGGGCTTTGGATGGATCTGAGGTGGAGGGCAGGTTAGGGTTTATAGTCTGGTTCTGGGCTCTGGAGGAGTTTTAGCGTCAAAGAGGATGTTTGGGCTTGCTTCTAGAACCAACGCCTGGTGCTTCCTCAGGCAGGCGGGAAATGCTCTAGCATCACGGGATGAGGCCGGGAAGCTGCTGGAACTACAGCTCCCAGTGTGCAGTGCAGGGGCCGCAGGGAGAGTGGGAAGGCCCGGGGTCAGACAGCTGCAGCAGCTGTGTAGGCCACGGGGCAGGGCCTCGTCATGCCGGAGCAGGACCGAATCCTCCCAGGGGCGCAGACACAGCTGTCTGTTCAGGGGCTCCCCGACACACCCTGCCATCTGCCCGCCCGCAGAAAGGCACGTTTGCCCATGGCACAGCCAGGGTTCCCGTGTGCCCACTCGGCCTGCACATAGGCGCTCGTCTGCTTGCGTTTACACGCTCAGAGGCATGCGCCCTCCGTCCCAAAAGGACCCCGAAGCCCCACCAACACGCGGTCACAGGAACACCCGGTCTAAGAGGGAGGAGCCCTGTTACCTTCACCTTCAAGTGGTTGTCCCCAGTGGATGAACCTGGGGCTTCCCGGAAATGGGAACTGGGCCAGACGCTTGCACCACAGTGGCCTCCCTGCTCTGCTTCTAGAGCAGCCTGGATACTCTTTTCCCAACAGCCCCCGTCCCAGGGATAGATGCTGCCCCATTTGGCCTTTTTCATCTGGTCAAGGCCGTACCCTGAGCGCCCATCCCCGCCTTTCACATTACCCCTGGAGGGAGAAGGGAAGGAAAGGAAGCTCACTGGGTTGTTTTGTGACTGTTGGGCTAACCCCATGAAATTGCTCTCAGTACTCAGATCTCAAAAATGGGCCTGTGTGAGGGCCCCGGGCCCCATGGACACGTCCACGCCAATTCTGGGGAGTCTGTCTCTTCGTCCTCATGACCACAGCCGAGGCCTGTTGCTTCCCACTAGGGACATCCTCACTGTACAGCCCCTCCCAAACGCTTGGTCTAAACCACCTGCCTCTCTGCTGAGAACCCTTGAGAGGCTCCCCTTTGGCGACACAGAGAAAGCCCCACTCCTTACAATGCTCCCACCATTCTCTTCCCACAAGCTTCCCCTGCCTGGGGACCCCCACCCTCCATCACTGCCCACTCATCCTTGTAGGAACAACTCAAATGCCACCTTCTCCAGGGTCCGGGGCCCTGAGAAGCCTGTGCAGGTGAAGTGCCCCGCACACGCGTGCCCTGCACACGCACGTGTCTCTGGCACACACCCTGCGGCCCGCCTCCTCCCACCCCTGCCCCGGCTTCTCTTCATTTTCCTCTCCAGATGCGCCCAGGGCAAAGCTATTACCCGAACGGATGGCCAGAATGAAAAATTAAATTTCCACTTATCCGTCTCGCTGACGCATTCCCTCCTGACCAGTGGGGCTTGGAGCACAGGGCATGGCTGTGCCCCTACAGTGGGCCCCCAGAGAACGTGATAGGCACCAGCTGATGTGGGACAAGGGCCGGTGGTGTCAGCGGCTGCTCGGAGATTGGCTGTGAGCACCAGAACACATGGCTGTGAAAAGGCTCAGGCTTCCCGGCTGAGCCGTCTTGCGGGCCCGAGAGGTCCTCCCTCGGGAGGGCCAGCTAAACGGCTCCCGGGCCCATCAGTGATTCAGTGGGCACCACGCGTCCCTGGCCTCTGCCTAACTGGGCTGTCAACAAGAGTGTCCTCATGCAAGTCACCTGCGTGTGACTTTGCTTACCAGCCCTGTCTCTCTCTGTGCCTCCGGGGAGCACGGGAGGCTATGTCGCATGCGTCTTCCAGCTGGAGCCCTGGGCAGCTTGGCCCGCCTGCCCACAGGCCAGCTAGGCCTGACCACAGATCCCACGCAGGGCATCCCACTGCTTCCATCAGCCCCAAGGAGACGGCCCGCCTCCTCCACGGCTGGCTTCGCGTCCTCCCTTTCCTCTCTTTTCTTTAGCCTGGGCCTGGGAAGTGCCCCCTTCCCTTCCTCCTTGCTCCTGGATGCCATTGAGTCCCTGATGAGCAGCGTGCATTCACAGTCATCCTGCCTCCTCTCCAGCTTTGGGAGAAGGGAGGCCCCGACTTAGCTGGGTAGCGCCACCTGGCCCCATTAGCCTAGAAGGGCCTCTGGCTGGTCCACTCATGCCAGGGGTAGGATCACGGGAGATCACTGCTCCCGCTTCTTGGCCCCCTCCCCTGACTTCCCAGTCAGCAGTGTCTCCAGCCAGCGGAGTATGCATCTGGCCTGAGATAAACATATGATCTCTGTCATACAGACTGGGAAGCTGAGACTCTGAGACGTGAAAGCGACACAGCCAGGAAGAACTGCTACGTGACCACACTCAGGCCAAGTCTGACATGGCCCCCGTACGACACGCCTCCCTGTGGCGTGGTTATGCTCCCTTATGAATACTCCTCATCCCTGTCTGTCCCATGGCCCCACGGCCAGAGCTCGGGTACCCATGAGGCTCTTACTGAGCTTTGCCCAAATTCTCTCCAGGAGGGGAGAAGTCTGTGCTTCTGGCCCTCCCCCTCCCCACCGCCCCCAACCCTAGCCTGGAGGACGGGCTGCCGTAGCTTTTCCCAGGCTCCACCTCGGACGCTTCTACTACTTCTGGTTCACGGGCAGGGAGTTGACCAGTGTGAGCGCCACGGGCAGGGAGTTGAAGAAAACAGCAATCGACAAGTGACTCCACCTCCCCCTGGTGAGAGTGGGACGGAACGGCCCCGAGTGTGACTGCACAGGTAGGTGCACACCCTGGACAGCTCCTTTTGCCGCTGTGCCTCGGATGGACCCACACATGAGGTCTCCTACTTCTGGGACGCGGGCCCGGAGCCGATGTGTCTGTAGGGCTTGCCCAAGTCCTGTGCCTGGAGTCCAGCAACCACTGCCCAACTTCCCAGACTCCGGAGCCCGGCCCAACATCTCCCTGAGGTCACTTCCTGTCCATCCCCCCAGCCGCATGACACCCCTGCCCGTCCCAGGTGTTTCTTTCTGTCACTTTCTTTTCCTGCAACTACCTCAGCCACAATGTTAAAGACACTCCCTCTTCTGGCTGTGAAGCTGTGATGGCAAGTTTACCTCTCTCTTGGCTTGTTTTGATCCTCCCATTAATAATGATAATGACAGGGGCCAAGATAATGATCATAGAGCAGGGGCCATTTATTGACAGGCTGGTCTGCGCTAGGTCCTTGGCCCACATTATGTACATTCCGACAAGAAGCTTTCAAGGCACCTCGAATTATGCCCATATTCCGAGGAGCACTTGTCCACGTCCCTGCTGTCTGACATTAAGACCCATGCTCCCTTCATGGCCCACATGAAGGCTCCCCCAGGACATCCTAGCTCTTTGCTCCCTTTGCCCTGAGAGGGTCAGGCGGCCGAATCTCTTCATCTGCACCGACACAGAGAAAAATGCAGGGAAGACAGCAATTCAGGGCACACAACCACCATGGCTCTGGGCTGTCTCCTTGTATTTCCTCCAGTGTCCCTGCTTGAGGACAGCCTCACCCTCCAGCCTGTCTGTGTGGGTTTCCTGAACTGCAGGAGCAAATGAGCTCCACCTCCAAGCCCAGCCCCACCAAGCCGGCATCACAGGACCTGGGCAGGCTCTAACACCTGTCCCCCCACCGTTCCCCCCCCCCCGCAACAGCACCCACTTCCTCTCTGCTGGAACCTCTCTCTGATCCCTCTCCGATCGGGGGTCACCCTGTTTCACACACAGCCTCAACAGAGGAAAGAGAAAAGCAAAGCAAGGCCAGTGGCCAGAGCTCAGGAGAGAACCAGAGGAAGGGGAGACGGAAACTTCCTGCAGTGACCTAGCCCCAAAGGCAGAGCAGTGGGTGGGGAGAGGCAGGACAGGGGACAGCTTCCTACCTGTGATATTGACCTCCACCTGGCCCGAGCGGGTGCCGATGGGGTTGGTGGCCTCACACACGTAGGTCCCTGCCAGGCTGTAGTTGATAGGCCCCCTGAAGAAGAGGGTTCGGTTCTGGGCCTCCACGCCCTTGGGGAGAGAGCCATTCAGCCTGCAGGGATGGGGAGACATGGCAGTGGGTTATGACCCTCCAGCCCAGAAGCTTCCCCGGGTGTCACCCAGCCTCCAAGACTCCCAGCCCTCTTGCTGAGTTGATAGGCAGGGTCTGTCTTGGACGGAGTACCAACAATAACCACAACAATAATCTCTTGCGTTTGGCAGATTCCCATTATTCGGCATCTCACGCTCATGTCCCAGCACTGAGATGTAGACAGGCCGGAAAGGGACTGGTCCCACTGAACAGATGAGAAGCTCTTTGAGTTCAGGGTCAAAGAACACAGCTAGTAAGTGACAGAACTGGGGCTCTAGCCAGGTCTTTGGCTCCTGGCACAGTGCTCTCCCAACTACGCCTGGTTCCTGGTGTTTGGTCATTGGTTTCCTGGGTTGCTAGTTGAGAATATAGATGTTCGGGTTCTCACCCCAGATCTACTGAGGTTGAACTGCTGGGGCCACGGCTTGGAGATCTGTATCTTAACAAGCTGCTCAGGTGATGAGATGTGACCCATGTGGAGGAATCGTGCTCCGGTACACTATCTCATTTTCTTGCTGGGCATATCATAGGCCATTTTCCTGGGGGAGACACAGGGGAGCCTCCTCCTGATTTTCGATGTCACAAAGCTATTATTCTGTTGGACCTAGCAGCTCCCTGGTACACAGAGCCGAAACTGGTCACTTGTACCTTCAGATAACACTTCTGGCTCCAGAAAGTGGAGGGTGAGAACTAGCTAGGGCAGGCCAATGCCTTCTACTTCCAGGAAACAGAGTGTAGACAATGTGGGCAGCCATCTCCTGGCCATCCATGTCAACCCGCTTCCTGGCTTCCCCACATCCTCCTTTCTATGCGTCCCATCCATCTTTTCTCTGGGAAGAACCTTGGCTCAGGCCATCAGAGCCGGCTGGAGGGGCAGACAGGACCCTTCGAGAGCCAGGCTCAAAGACTGTGAAGCCAAGAATGGCACGGCGGGGTACGGGGCAAGCACTCCACGGACGCAGGCATTCTGGGGTGACGGCTGCCCCCTCCTTGACAATCTGGGGGTGCTGGAGAGAAGGAACGGGAACAAAGAAAGATCTGGGATGCTCCAGAAAGCCAGCTTCCCTGGGGACACCTCGATAAAAATAAATACCGGGGGCTGGGGTGGGAGTGACTCAGACTGAATCACCAAAGGAGAACGACTAGATTCTTTATTAGGGGGGAAGAAGGCAGGCGGTTGATGAGGGGATCCCCCTCGGGCAGAATGGTTTGTCCCACTGACCCTGATGCTGTCGTGGCTGGGGTCTCTCGCAGCCCCTTCCCTTCTCACTGAGAATCCTGAACCAAGACCCTAACTTTCTCCCCACGTAATGCTCCTGGAGGTGGGGTGGGGTGCCTCCCTGTGACCAGCTAGGCACCCTGCAAGGCGACCAGCCAGCCCCAGAGCACTTACGTGGTCCAGTGGTAGTCGGTGGCAGGGGGGTTAGCATCGGCTTTGCACGTGAGCTTCACATCCGTCCGCTGCAGGTACCAGTTCCCATCAAACCCCTCGATGGTCACCTCGGGCTCGTCTGTGGGGCAAGGGACGATGTTTGAGAAGGGTGAGGTCAGGAGAGCAGGGCTTGGGGCGAGGGAGTGAGCCTCAGATGGGGCAGGGGTGGAAGGGGCAGTGACATGGAAAGAGCTGGAAGACGGGGAGGGAGGGGGGAGGACCCTCGGAGCAGAAGCAGCAAGGGAATGGAGGAAGGAGGAGGACAGATGGGCACAGGAAGGACATGGGGAAAAGAGAGGGGGGAGGACAACGCACCCCTGAAAAGAGAAAGGGAGGGGAAGGCTGGGGGGCGGGCAGGAGCAGAAAGGGGGCAAAGGAAGCAAAGGAAGAGAGATGGGAGAAAAGGAGGAGGGAGGGCTGGCAAGAGTGGGGCGGTAGGAGGGGACAGCAGCACCCCCCACCCTGAAACCCGCCTGCGCCGCGCCCTGCTCACACTGCACGTTGAGGGTGAGGCTTTCCCGGAAGCGGTCCATGTGGTAGTTGACGATGCAGGCCAGGGTCTGCTGGTGGGCTTCCCGGCTGGGCACCAGGCGGTAGCGGCTAATGACGGTCACCGTGCCGTTGGGGTTCCGGATCTCTTGGTACTCCGCCTCGCCCTTCAGGCGCGTTTCCCAGGACACCACGCTGGGAGGCTTCCCGTTGGCCGAGGTACAGGTGGCCACCAGGACCTTGTCATCCTGCCCCTTCTTGGCTCGAAGCACCGTCTGGGTGCCCTCTACCCAGTTGGTGGGTTTGGCTGCGGGGAAGCAGAGGGAGCCGTGGGGCTAGCGCTACGGCTTCATCCAAAGTGTGCTGGCCCAGGAGGTCACCCTGGCCATCCCTGCCTCTGAGCTGTGCCCAAAGCCCCTCCCAGCCCTTCTCATGGGGACTGCTTCATGTCTAACCTGTGTCCTTCCTGCCCTACCTGGCACCCCCTTTGGTCAAGCGGAGGCTTTCCTGGAGTCTTGGCGTGCTCAAGGCTGGCGGCTCACGTGGCCCTTTTCCTTACCGTGGTGTCGGAAGCTTCTGCCTGCTTCCCGGTCACCCACAGAGTACCCTGTGGTGGGGCTTCCAACCCGAATCGTGACCCTCAGCTCTGTGCACAGCTAAGGCCTTGCACCCAATCCCGAGTGAGCTGTGGGACAGCCTGGCCGGAAGGGACCGGAAGCTTTGGGAGCATGCCAACCAAGGAGACTGTCTGGGGCCACCGAGGCACACGATGAGGGTGGCCAAGCCCCAGGCCACGGGCCTCTGCACGAGCAGGGAGAGGGGGGTGAGGCCAGCTTACCCATTACAGTGAGGTTGAGCTGGCTCTCTCGATTGCCGGCAGGGAAGGTGGCGAACTCGCAGATGTAGACGCCCTCGTCCTCCAGCTCAAGGCGGGAGAGGCGGATGGTGCCGTCGGTGAAAGAGGGCCGCAGGAATTCTACGCGCTCACGGTAGGGAGCCAGCACGGAGACGCCCATGGCGGGGTTGTAGATGGCCACATTCTGCTTGGAGCCGTTGGTGGCCTTCTGCCACGTGACCTGGGTGATCTTCACGCCGGGCAGCGGGTTGGCGAAGCTGCAGTGCAGGACCACGTCCGTGCCGATGAAACCGTACATGGAGTCGTTCACCTGGACCACCTGGGCGTGGGCGCCTGGTCAAAGGAGCCGGCGGGACTGGTCAGTGACAGGCACGGCCGCCCGCACCCCCCGCCCCCGACTCCCTGTGCACCTGCTCTTTTCTTTCTACCTCTTGTTACTCTTGATTCTGATCATAGGAATAAATAATTGCTTGTTACTAAAGCACTCTGGAGGATGCTGAAAAAGACCGTGATCCCCACCACTCAGAAGGATCACTGATCGTCTTGTAGGAAATCCCTTCTTTTATTTTTTTCTCGCTATATTAATTTCTCGATCTCCAGGTTTCTCTGCATAACCATCTTTTTTTTAAGACGAAATCAGAATGATACTGTACGTATTGTTCCATAGCTGCCTTTTCGTCTAGCGATGCATTACCCATAGTGCTCCATTGGGCAGTAAATATATACCTGCACCCTTATTTTTAATAAGGGGCGGGAGTCGAATGCACTGCTTTCCCTAGGAGCCATCAACTGCCTCACCTTCCTGGGCCTCAGTTCCCTTCTGGCAAATGGGGCATAGAATCCAGTCCTCTACCTCACGGGGTTGCTGGGAGAACCAAATGAGACTAACGAGAAAGTGTCAGGAGGCAGGAGGCGCTGACCATGCGGGCTCACGGTGGCCACCATTATGCTCCCCGCCATGGTCTTCTCCCTCAAGGCGGAGTGCCCGTGCCCTGGGGTGCGCTGGCTCCGTCCCTCTCACGGGGCCCGGGCCGCTCCTCAGAACATGCCATGTTTCCATGTTCCCTTCCTCTCTCTCTCCCTCCTCCTATCACTCCTAGACTCTTGCTCGTGCAGTTCCCTAGAAAGCCCTAGAAGGCCCTTCCCCCTCCTTCCCCTATGGATCTCCCACTCAGGCCACCTCCTTTGGGAAGCTTCCCAGATCTTCCCTGCACGTGTGAATCCAGCCACTTCTATCACAGATCTTTTCTGCCTCCGGATGTGGTTGTTCACGCCTGTGACTTCTCCGCCAGCACAGGGTCTGTGTCTTTCCCAGTCGCCCCAGCCCCAGTGCCCAGCCCAGCATCTGGCGCACAGTAGGTACTCAGTAGATAGCTCTGGCCAGGCAGACTGCAACGGAACCCATGGGAATAGAGATTTGCAAGAAGGAGGGAGTGATCAGTGGCGTTGGATGAATGAATAAATTCCCCCCAGTCTCCTTACTGATTGCTTTGTTTCACTAGAATGGCTTGTTTGAGCTTTTCCCTGACCCTGAACGCAGGGCAGAGACCCTCCAGCGGGTCTCTCTGGCCCAGGCTCTTTCTGGAGCTCTGTTATTGGCCACGCATCTGTACCCTTCATATTGTCGTATCCTTTCTTTACTCAGTTTATTGAGCACCATCGATAATATCAATGCCAGGTCCTGCACTGACCTAGAGGCGGGGGGGATGGCCTCAGTGGCTCCCCAGGGGAGTGGAAATTCGGGGCTCACCTTTGCCTCTGCATGGTGGAGGCACAAAAGCAGGGCACACTCCTCTGAGGGCTTGGAAGCCCATGATAGGTGAAGGCTGTCCCCCCCCCACCCCTCCCCTAAGGAGGGCACAGGCTGTGTCCCCAGGGTCACTGCGGTGTCCTGTGTGTACCATACAGCAGATACTCAACAATTTGCTGAATAAATAGATCTTTGGCCCCTTGTCATGCCCTGAAGACTTCCCCAGTGCTCCCTCCTTCTTTATGCCTATTCACATCCATGCAGCCCTTCGAGGCCCACCTGGGAGTGCCCCCACCCCTACCCCTCCAGTTGTCCCCCTGGCCGGTGTGTGGGGTTCTGACATGTCCTTGGGCAGAGAGCACCGTGGGCTGGTGGGAGTACGGGAGGAAGCACCCACCAGGGAGGCAGGAGGGTTGGGTTCTGCTCAGCCCTATTTTGAGCTGAGACCTTGGCCGGTCACTTCCCCCTCCCGAGCCCTATCTTCCTCCTCTCTAAGAGAGCGGGCTGGACTCCCCAGTCTTAGTGGTCCCTTCTGGGCCTGAGTCTGATCCCCTGAACCGCAGCCCAGCCTTGCTGAGGCCCCACCCCAGATAGAGTCCCATGGTGAGGTCAGCGGGCCAGACAGCCCAGTGCTCCTGCTGACTGGCCAGCTGGCAAGCGGCT